GGGCAAACATCAGCATGCTGGAAGAAGCAAAGACCACCAGCATTGAAGCGATAGTCCTCCGCCATCAACTCCGCTGGACTGGCCATGTTGTCCGGATGCCCGACTACTGTCTCCCAAAGCAGTTGCTCTACTCCGAACTCAAAAACGGAAAACAGAATGTTGGTGGGCAGGAAAAGAGATTTAAAGATGGGTTCAAAGCCAACCTTAAAAATTCTGGCATAGACACTGAGACCTGGGAAGCCCTGGCCCTTGACCGCTCCAGCTGGAGGTCAGCTGTGACCAGCAGTGCTGCAGAATTTGAAGAGGCACAAATGGAGGGTGAAAGGGAGAAGCATGCCAAGAGGAAGGCGCATCAAGCCAACCCCGACTGAGACCGCCTTCCACCTGGAAACCAATGCCCTCTCTGCGGAAGAAGATGCAGAGCAAGAATAGGGCTCCACAGCCACATACGGACCCACAAGAATACTGGAAGACAATCATCCTCGGAAAACGAGGGATCACCTAACTAACTAACTAACTAACTAACTAACTAATTCTGAGATATAAAATGAATCTAGTTATGGCTTCACATATTGGAAAGTTTCTCCGTACAAATCACACACAGACAGCTCTACAGGCAAAAACCAAGCACGAGAACCTTTTTTGCTATAGCTATTTAGATAAGCTCTTGCTCATCCTCCCTAAATTAAATAACACCATGCCTTCAAAATTATCTTAATCAGAGCTACTGCTGATTGCATATTTCCTCTCTTCCAGTTCTCTGCATTTATATCCATAATTGACAAAGTTTCATGTATGTCTGCTTTCAGAGAAGGCAGAACTAGACTGTTGAGCTTTTTTAGCTGAAGAATGCTTGATTTCGCTCATTCACTGCCATGAATAATAGCATCATGACCTAGCTGGAATACACATACACACACGCACACACTGTCAATTCTTTCAGTGAAAACTATGTTGGATTAATGTCTCAATTGCCATTTTTAAAAAAAATATATATATCAATGATAAGACACTCATCTAACAATTAACACCCCCCTCACACATAACCGAATTTAAATTATGTTTGTATTTATTGACGAAATAAAGGAAGAATATATAAAATCTATTAAATTCTGTTGAGAGCTTGCATTAGTAAGTTGCCTGCAACAAATCCCCTTTTTCCAAAGCTGTGCATTCATCACAATATGGCTTCAACAGTGAGGGGTAATGCCACTTTTTGTGGTTTTACTGTAACTTGGAAAGTTTTTTTTTTTGTAATTAAAGGGGCGTGGAGTTTCTAAATCTTAGAGAAGTGGCTTCTGCTTAATGTGGGTATTTGGGCATCGTAAAGATAGGCAGTTATACTGATAAGAACAGATTCTACACTTGATCTTAACCAAAAGGCTGAGAAGCAAACTCTGGTGTTAGAAATATTTTACAAATGCTTAAAACACTTTCAGTAAGGGATAAAAAGATTAAAAAGTTAAAAAGAACAGCTCACCACTTTCACATGCACAAACTAGAAGTCCATAATTTAATATTCAAAATCCACCTAAATTAAAATGCCAGCAGAGTGTTCAAATTAATTCAAATTAAATTTTATTTGCAACAATCCAATAGCCATGACAATTTATATAAGCGTAATGCAGTCTAAGCAACACAGGATACCAACACTTGCACTAAAACAGTCAAAAATATATTACTGACATATATAGATGTAAAATATAAAACTAAAGAGTCTTTCCTGGTGAATAAAATTAGTACATTCACTTAATGATAAAATGCAACAGTTACAGTTACAGGGAAAACCAACTGATCCCTAATCCATCTAAAACACAGACATGTGCTAGGTTCTTGTGGGGTTTTTTCGGGCTATAGGGCCATGTTCTAGAGGCATTTCTCCTGATGTTTTGCCTGCATCTATTGCAAGCATCCTCAGAGGTAGTGAGAGAATGCCTCTAGAACATGGCCTATAACCCGGGAAGAGGGAGCAGGCTTGTTTTCTGGGAGTCACTCTAGACCATGCTTTTCACCTAAGAACAGACAAGCATCCCGAGCTCTGAGGATTACCTGGGAAGGAATCCCACTGGAGCATTGCGGCACACCCAAATACCTGGGAGTCACTCTGGACCGTGCTCTAACCTACAAGAAGCACTGCCTGAACATCAAGCAAAAAGTGATGCTAGAAACAATATCATACGAAAGCTGACTGGCACAACCTGGGGATCACAACCAGACACAGTGAAGACATCTGCCCTTGGGCTATGCTACTCTGCTGCTGAGTATGCATGCCCAGTGTGGAACACATCTCACCACGCTAAAACAGTGGATGTGGCTCTTAATGAGACATGCCGCATTATCACAGGTGTCTGCGCCCTACACCACTGGAGAAATTACACTGCTAGGTATTGCACCACCTGACATCCGCTGGGAAGTAGCAGCCAATAGTGAAAGGACCAAGGCAGAGACATCTCCAGCTCATCCCTTGTTTGGGTATCAGCCAGCACGTCAATGACTTAAATCAAGAAATAGTTTTCTTAGATCTACAGAGACACTCGCTGGAACACCTCAGCAAGCGAGAGTCCAAAAGTGGCAGGCTCAAACGCAGAACCTCAATCCGTGGGCGATACCAGATGAGAGACTTCCCCCTGGGCACACAGAAGACTGGGCGACTTGGAAGGTGCTGAACAGACTGTGCTCTGGCACCACGAGATGCAGAGCCAATCTTAAGAAATGGGGCTACAAAGTGGAATCCACAACATGCGAGTGCGGAGAAGAGCAAACCACTGACCACCTGCTGCAATGCAGCCTGAGCCCTGCAACATGCACAATGGAGGAGCTCCTTGCGGCAACACCAGAGGCACTCCAAGTGGCCAGCTACTGGTCAAAGGACATTTAATCAACTACCAAGTTTGCAAAATCTGTTTTTTTATCTTTTTGTTTGTTTTGTTCTGTTAGAAATGTAATACAATGGTATGGTTGCTGATGACACGATAAATAAATAACAGTTTAATACCCAGGATTGCAGTTTTGCAGAGTTATAAAAATGACTACAATTCCCAGAACTTATCAGCTAACATAACCATGTTTTTAAAACAAAACTACATTGTCTTAAGAGTTTAGTTCGTTCTGTGATTGAGCTCTTAACTCAAAACACTCCTATCTCAAAATGAATTTTTGCATTGAAATGGTATTGATCTGCTCCTCTTCCCCAAACTCCCCTTCCCATTTTTGTTATGTGTTTTTAAATAATAAAATGTACTTTATAAATAACAAACATTTATAAATGTACATTTGCTTGTACCAATAAGAAAGGAAATATCACTTTTAAAATGGTAGAAGCACAAAGTTGTGGCAAGGAAGCACAAAGCGAAGAGGCAGAAGCATCATTTTCTTCACACAGGCTCCTCCTTTGGAGGCCTTTAAGCAGAGGCTGGATGGCCTTCTGTCAGAGGTACTTTGACTGTGCTTTTTCTGCATGGTGGGGGTTGGACTGGATAGCCCATGTGGCCTCTTCCAGGTCTATGATTCT